AAGGGCAGGCTGCTCTTTGCCCTGACCTCAAGTTCATGCTGCTTTCTCTCTGTCTGGGTGGGAATATTACTCTGCTTGAAAAGATGTCAATGAGGGCTGCAAAGCTTTGCTTTCACAGAAAGGCTTCTGGGGCTGTTCTCTTCTGATCCTGGTTTTTATCAGACCGACCGAAAAAGCAGATGTTTGTGGGGGGGGGAGGGGGTGATGAAATCACTGCTGGTGAGAGGTGATTTGTGGTCAATGGTAGTGATTTTCATCCAGTTCTGTTCACCAGAGGTAAAGTCCATGTAAAATAGCGATAATGTGTTTGTGTGAGGGGAAAAACTTGAAAAATTTCCTTTTTCTTTCTGCTCAGTGTTATACAAATGGTAATAAGGGATCTAAATAAAACAAGGAATTTCAGCACATTCCTGTTCCCAGCTCTGGGGCTGTCCTTGAGGCTGGTGTGCAGGATTTGAACCTCCTGCCAAACCATGTTTTGGCAGTTTACTTCCTCTTAATCTCACAGCAAGAAACAGTCAGAAAAACTTACAACTGTAGTAAATATCTATGCTTACCCAGAACTAATATTCTTCCCAGTGCACTCAAAATTACATGAAGTGGGGAGTCTTTCCAGGAACACTCTGATATTTAGTATTGTTTTTTGACTTCTGCAGTCATTTTATAATTATTTTTATTTTTTTACCCAGGGACATATACTAATGATCCTAAATGTTCTGCAAGTGTCTCAAAGCTGCTAGGGCACTTTCATGGGTGCAAAAGAAGCTGGAAATGTCAAGACAGCCTTTAGGTAGCTTTCTAAGCTTTGTTTTGGCTATTTGCACATGTTGTGGGCCCTTTGGATGGAAAAGCCACTTGGAGAGCAGGAGTGTGAGTATTGAGCTCTCCATTCAGTCAGGCAAGGTGAAAGATATGAAGGAAGCAGTGACTTGGTAAAGCCAGGAGCTGCAGAAATAGCTAATATACCAGTTATCTCAGTGGTCTTTAATGTTTCAGATGTTGACAGAGCTTCAGGACAATTTCAGATCATATGAAGACAAGAGGGAGGTGCTGGATAACTGATCCCTTTAGTCAGTTGTACAAGTTTGAAGTGGGGAGATGGAGGTGTTCTGTACTTAGAAGGGTGAGTTTGCCATGGTGATGCAATGAAGCAAGGATATGAAATATGAAGGATATGAAATTTAGGTAAGGGATGGCTGGAGTGAAGGTACACGGTGGGGGGACCCGGCAGGAACTGCATGGATGACAGTGCCAGGGAAATCCTGCCAGCATGCCCAAGGTCAGCCCAACCTACAGGCTGACTGCCAAGAGGATGGCAATGAGTCCGAGGGAGGTTATGGCCATGCAGGGTTTAGAGGAGCTAGAAGTGTTGGGTGGGAACAAGCAGCAGGTCTGTGCAGCGCCTTTTGTCCATGAACACATTGTAGGATTCAGAAGGAGCAATTAGAAAACTTGCTTTAGTAAATGAGAGGAAAACAGGAGCTTTGCTCTAAAAGTTGTGGTGAGGAATCTGTGTTCAAGGGAAGTGCTCTACATTGCCATGATATCTGCCATTAGCTGCTTGGGAAAAACACTTGTGCTTGCACTGCTGGTTGTGCCTGGGTGAGATTTTTGTTTGTTTTTGCTTCAAACTCACTGTGAGGCCTTGTGCAAATCAATGTAATCTGTGTTATGGATGTAGATATCACCTGTATATTTAAATTCCCCAAATTACCATTTAGTACCTGCTACTTTCAGCATGCAGAAACCTTCACCTGCAGAAAGGGTGATTAGGAGGCTAATTATGAACCTGGACATCTATTGAGACTTCCAGTCACACCTGAGTACCCAGTTCTCCAGTATCTTCTTTGGTATCAATAGGTGTTTGCAGAACACCTGCCACTTTAGATTTTGAGCATCAAAAAAAAAAAAATCTGCCCACTCAGTGTGTGGAATCTTCCCTTTTGTAGAACAAGATGGTGAGGCAGAAGAGGTTGAATGCACTGTGGGATTTTTAAAATGAAAGGACCTGGGAAGGGACATGCACTGAGATCCAGGACAGCAGTAACCTTAATCTGCAATACCTTGCAGCATGTGACATGTTGTGCAGAAAGCGCTTACCCAGATGGGCTTAGCTCCTGTAGGAGGGGTTGCTAAGGACTGATCTTCCTTGAAAGCAAATCTGCAGAGCTGTTTGTGCCAGGGCTGAGGGCTGCGGGTGCCACAAAGCGCCTCTTCCCCAGTGTTTGCGTGCGTGGATGTTCTCCCCTTTGCGAGTTGTGGCTTGCACAAGGCAGCTCTCAGAGATCAGATGCCGGAGCACGAATTGGAGGAGCCTGACCAGAGGATGCCTCCTGGGGGCAGCCGGGACCCCAGCGCATCCTCGTTACCGCTGACCTTGGCACGAGCGCTGCCTGCTGATGGATAGGCTGTGGAGCTGGACAAGACCCTGGGGAACCACCGTGTTATCTATTATCGTCCCATCAGCGCCTCCGCTGACCCCTCCCAGCTCCGAATGCCACAGGCATCAGGGAGGGAATAAATCTCTGTCTGATACTGAGAGAGAGAGGGAGCGCGAGCAGGAAAAAGGAGAGATGAAAAATGTTCTTTTTATGACTCTCACAACAAAGCTGGCCACATGATCGCAGCAAACATTTCTCGGAGAAGAGGGAGGGTGGGAATGGGGGGAATCAGCAAAATAAGAAAGCAGAGCAGCCTCTCTCCCCTGGAAGATGCCCATGGGGAATAGATAGAGGGGCATGGGTGACTTTTGAAGGTAAATATCCTGTGAAAGGAAAAGGGCTCCAAAGCTTCAGGCTCACTCCAGTGTCTGATGCGGCTTTGAATTGCTCCTTGCAGCCGCTGGGAATGCTGTGGAAGCAGAGGCACGAGCGATCTGCTGTGCTAGAAGGAGCAGCAGGGCTAGGGCATGATTAATAAGGCACTAATAGCAACCCCAGCACTATCTTTTTGCTTCTCTTTGGGATGATCCAAGTATAGCTTGTGCTTGGGAGCCTGGGGAGAAGTCCTGACCTTGGTGGCTTTAGCTGAGAGAGGAGCCTTTAGTGGTGTAGCCCAGTGCCTGGAGAAACGTTGGCACCTTTTGGTGCTCTACACTATCTCTTGATCACTGCAAGACTTCAGCAAAATTCCTACACTGAAATGTCTATTAAAGTCAATGTTTCTAAAGGCAAGTGAGTGTCTCGAGTCATGGAAAGGGATGCTATGCTGCTGTTCTTGTCTCTTCTGCCCCAACCTGTCTTGTATTTTAATCAAGAGCACCTTCCCTTCCAGCAGCATGAGTAAGAGTTGTGCAGGGCTTAGGATCTGCAAGCAGAAGCAACTTAAATCCATAAACAGTTAAGTAGGGTTGTTTAACAGCCTGCTCTGTTACTTGAATGGTGACCCTGAGGTTCAAGAATCTTTCTATGCTTGCACTAGCCTCTGGGAATATTGGATCTGTTTGTATTTCTTGTCTGGGAGGGTTTGACAGCCTCAGCAGATGCAACAGATTCAATTTGAGGGCAGCTGTGCCCATCCATGTGCTAGAAAGCTGGTGAAACAGGGCTGCCACACTGTGTTCTAGCACCAAGGGCAGACCAGGGCCGTTCTGGCCAGTGCCACCGACCTTTCTGCAAAAGGAGTCAGATTGGGTCTGGGCAGCCCCTACCCATGCTGGTATTTAACTTGCCAGTTGTGAAAAGTGAGTTAAATTCCCTGCTTTTACCCAAATGGCTGTAACAACTCCTCGGTAACCCTACTAATTTGATTTTGTCTATAACGTACTTTTAAAGTAAAGGGATAAATACAATCAGTCTGCATAAAAGGTAGCTATTAAAGAGTGGACAAGTTGTACAACAAATAACTTAAAATTAAAAGCTCTTTCTCACTACTGCTGTGAGGTCTGCAGATTTTCCTCAAAACTTTTGAAATGTGTCTAGACTTCCTACAGGCAGCCATTTAACCTCCGTTTATGAAGAAATAAAGCAAAATTGATGTTGATTTTGGTCTACGTTGGGGGATACTTTTGCAACATAAAAGCCCTTTTGCCTGCAATTTGTAGAGCAGCCCTGTCACATCAGTGAGGGCTGGTACTGATAAAGATAAAGCTTTATAGCTGGGACATTTGCAGCTAACAGCAAGCTAATGCTGCATTTTCATTTTGATGCAATTAATGTTAATGTCTGCTACGAAAATTGTCATTAAATACCATTTTAAAATCCATTCAATTTGCATATGCAAAGCCCATTTACTATCATGTAAAATACACGGTGTCGTTCATCATGTCCTTTCTCTAGAATTTGTAGCTGTTATTTTTCTGGTAGTGATTATTATCCAGCTCTTAAAATGAAACGTAATGTCTAGCCCAGGCCTGCACATAGCATGAAGACCCTGCTATGCAGCAGCAGAAAGGCAGCTCTGGAGCCTCTTTCCAAGACTTTTAGCACTTGTTTGCATTGGATTCCTGCCAGGCGGGCAGTGGAAGGGACATGTTGGAGCAAGGTGCTGATGTTTTTTCTTGCAGCCTCTGTTGCACAGGGACTCGGGCACAGCTCATGCACCCGATGCTTTATAAAATTGTAAATAGAAACCCAGTGTGGGGTTACAAATTGACTAGTGAGAGACAATGGGATGAAGAACCTGAACTGATCCTTAATTGCATCAGAGTACTGCAAACTGTATGACCAGGTGGAAATGCTGTTCTGCCTTAGCATCACTTTTCTTGGCATAAATAACCCTGGGAAGCAGAAAGTCTAGCTCACAACTCATCATACGGCTTTAAATTATAGGATTGGCATTGGTTGTGTTTAAGGAGTTACAAGTCCTTAGCACCAGCAGTCAAATGGGGCTGTGCTGTGGCAGGCAGGAGTTAAGTAGCTGATTATTTGACATCTGGGTATGATCTGGAAATGCTGCTGTGATGCATTTGCAGTGTTCCCAGGCTCAGGGTGCTTCTCTTTTGGGGACCCTGCTGAGTGGGAGGTGAGGGAGATGCAGAGATCAAGAGCTTTTCCCCTTACCGTGATACAATGCCGTATGTCATGTCTGCAGGTACTTTGGGAGGCCCTCTCTTGAAGCGACTCTCCTCATCTGCTTTTTGCCGAATGTCCTTGGCTTTGTAGAACAAGTTAAATTCCTGGGCTGTGGCATAACCGGCTCTGAGAGCGCCACAGTTCATAGTAATGTAGTCCCGGGGCATCTTCCGTCGTAGAGCAGGCCTGGGCTTCATGGCGTGCCAGTGGCCGATTGCTGGAGGTGGAAGGAGACACGAGAGGGAAAGATGAAGCATCTTGGCGAATGCTTTGGGAAGGTGGTTGTGATGAATCTGCATACCGGGTGTTTGGGGCTTCTGCCAGGGCTCCGTTGTGGAGTGTCACCATGTCCTGTGCCTTTTGTACATCCCATCCGAACTAGATGTTTACTCGGCCTCTAGCCTGGCTTGGCCAACAGGCCTGACTCCCAGCAGAATATTACCTGAGAACATGGAGCAAGAGCTCTGCCTGTTTGGGAAGTGGCCACGTGTCATCCCTTCTCTGCTTTGGGTTCTGTGCAAGCCCATAAGGCTCCCGGGAAATGTCACTAGTCACCAAGCAATTTGTGTGACATTTATGTTGGTGAATGGTGTGGAGTTCTTCCCCTCTGACTTATTGAGAACTAAGAGAAGAGGCTCCCCTAAGCATTAGACTCTGCTGCATGCCTGTATTTTTGTGGTGGTGTCATACCTTCAGGGACTCCTCCATCTGTCCCGTGGATGTAGAGCCCGTATGAAAAATCATGGCCCGGCAGGGCATAGCCGCATCGACGGGGCCTCCCCAGCTCTGCCTGCCAAAGAAGACCGAGGTTAGCGGGGAGCTGGAGACCTTGCACGGGGAGCTCACCCCTGCAAAGGGAGACTTGTAGCAGAAGTGTTGGCTGCTCCTGCTGTTGCCATTGATGCCTGGATTGAGCAGGATTTGAGCAGGGGGGTTGGACTAGATGATCTCTAGAGGTCCCTTCCAACCTTAACCATTCTGCGATTGCCAATGGCACCCTGGTTCCCAAGGGCTTTCTGGGGTTAGGAAACTGTCAAACCCAGAACTGGGACTAATGTTTGGGGCAAAGGGCCAAAAGAGGCACAGGGGAGGCTGCTGTGTGGTGCTCAGGACCACCAATGGCTTTGGCTCTGCTTGGAGCAGCTTTGAGCCCCACTTCTTGGACATAATCAGAGCTTGAACCACACAATGTGCTTGTATTAAGTGACCTGGCCTTGCTGGAAGTGGGGGTGCTGACTTGCTTATACTTATGGTATAGGGACCTAAACTTTGTTTAGCTAATGTTGCCTTTGCCTACAGGGCCTGAAAGGGGAGGCTTTCTGCAGCCATCCTAACTTCCCTTCAAGTTGCTCCATTTTCCAAGTCGTGCATCCTCCTGGAAAACTGCCACTAAGTTCCCCAAACGCTGCCAAATCCCCACCCCTGCCCAGGAATCATCAGCTGTTGGGGAATGGACATGGGAAGAGGGGAGCAGAGTAGGCTTTCCAGCACTGCACAATGCTTGAGTTGATGAGTATCTGCATTTTTTAAGTTCCCCAAATGCTGCCACATCCCCATCCCTGCCCAGGAATCATCAAATGTTGGGAATGGACATGAGAAAAGGGGAGCAGAGCAGGCTTTCCAGCACTGCACAGTGCTTGAGTTGATGAGTATCTGCATTTTTACTTCATTTGAAAATGAGTCCTTCCCAGCTCGTGGTTTTCCCAGGCAGATGATATCCGTGGGATTAGATGACCTCCCCTCACCCCTTTGTCTCTGCTCTCGGATCCCCATGGTACTGTCCCATGGGACGTGCACGTTTGGAAACCTCCTTGGTGGAGGGCAGGGGTAGGAGCCTTGTAGTCTGCAGAGGTCCTGCTGGGGGAGGCCAGGGAGGACAAGGTGACAGGCCAACCTGAGCCCTGACACAAGGTATGGGAGTGGGTGCTTTGGGACAGGTTATTTTCCATAGGAAAGGTGTTGGGGAAGGGTTTCCCACAGGAAGGGTTTGTAGCTGTTGGCATGGGCCCCTTTTGGGAGAAGGGAAACACTGAAATCCTAGTTCAATGCTGTTCCCTGAGGAAGTATTGAATACAGATATTGACATGACCATCATTATGTTTCAGTGTTATCCTCCTCTGGATGGGGAAGTGCTAATTCCTGCTAAATGCTCTGTCTGCAAGGTGTGAGCAAAGAAACTGCGGCTGAAGATGCACCGGTCCTGCTCGCTGCTGGTGCAAACACCCTGTGTGGGTGCGAGGGGGCTTGCTCAAAATGCATAAACTCTTGCCAGGAATGATGAACTAGCTCTTGTGGCTGGTCTATTCCCGCTGCGTTCCCAGGCGCCGGCACGACAGCTATTTTTAGGCTATGTGCTGCCGATGTGCAGGGGAAATGGCATAGCTGCCTGCAAAGAAGCCCTGAGGAGGGGAGAGGTTTGCAAGAAACCCGTGGCAAAGCCCTTTCCAGTGGGTAGAAGGGAGGAAATGAAGAGACTTAATGGTTCCTCTTTGCTGTGCACCTTAAGTAAATGCAGTTGGATATTTACTCTGTTGCAAAATGAGCTCCTGCTGTTCCCTTTTTGTGATCTGGTAGCATTTTACAGTCATTTTGCACTGAATAATAAAGCTGGAGGTGCTGGATAATTAATTAAAAGGAAAAAAAAAAATTGGTCCAATATGTTGAACGTGGTGAACAGCCGTGATGCTGCAGAGAAGCGGTGGACCCGGAGGATTCTGGTTGTTTGCCAAGATCTTCCTACCCGCAAATCAAAGGATTGGGAGGCAAGATTGGGAAGAAATCTTGCTGAGCGCACTCGGAGACTGAGGTTTTTCCCATTGGCAGCTTAGCGAGGCGCTCGCGGGCTGGCTTAGGGTTTGTCTGCGGGTGTCGGAGGTCCTGTGGATGTGGGAAGAGATGGAGCCCGGCTTGATGCCCAGGGTCCTTTTCCCTTTGCCGGCTCCATCGTCTGTGTTCAGGTTTAGGCTGTCACGGAGCCGCTTGGCTGGAATACAGATTGGTCTGACAGCTGTGCCTATCAGCAGACAACTTCATTAAACCTCATTAAGATGTCATTTCTCTGCCTTATTTCCCACCTCTTGGCTCTAATTAAAACCGTCTCTCTCTGCATCCCAGGCGGTCCTAATTTTCTCTGGGTACCTTCTGCAAATTTTCTCCCTTTACGACCTCGGCGGGGAAAATCAGCCTCTTAAATATTGTTTGTAGAGCCTGCTCGGAAATGCCACCTCGAGTGGCTTTCCCAAAGTGTTCCCGGTGCTTCCTGCAGGGACCAGGGCTGGGAGCGAGAGCCTGAGGCTTTGTTTGCTCTCGAGGCCTTTAAGGACATTTAAGGCACCCTCCAGCAGGGTAGTTCTCACTTGTGACCTGAGTTTGCTCGGATGGTGCCATGCTCAGACCAGCCACAGCAATGGGTGTTTTATTGGTGTGGGCGGCCCAGCTGGCTGAAGGATGAAGTTGGGTGTATCAAGTTCTCTGCTTGTAGCCCTGGAGGGGAGCCCTCCAACAGCATTGGAACAACTGCAAAGGAGGAAGAGGTCTTGGAAAAAGGCTCCTTTTGCAAGAGATGGGTGTGAGCGAAAGGTGTCATGAGGTGCAAAAAATGAAGGTTTCCAGATTTGGCTGCAAGCCGCGCTCTTCCTTTCCTGGGGATTTTAGGCCTCTTTGCTCCTTGCATTAATTTTCCAGAAAGGACTAAGCCTGAGAGCAGAAGAGAGACCTGCTGGCGTGCAGGGGGAGAGAGGCCGTCCTGCCGCCTTAATCCCGATGTTGGAGGCGGCTTGTCCATGGGGGAGATGCTGGGGAAATTCATGAGGCCGCTCGGCCGGGGCCACCCTGCGTCTCGGACCTCGTGGCAGCCGCCTCCGCTCCACCAGGCCCTGCTTCCTTCCCTACCTTCTGCTCGACTTTTCATTACACCCCCTTGTACAGTAAAGCCTCCCGTCACGCTGCCATTACTATTATTATTGCAGATTTACTGCGCTTGCCGAGTGAAGTGATGGCGGTGACAGGGCCCAGCATTTTCCCTCCTTCCCCCCGCGACAGCTTGAAATCAAGCCCTTCATTTGCATTTACATGATCTTGCTGTGCAGCTTATGAGATCGGGAGATTTATTTGCTACTTAGCTTGATGTTTGATTACACTCTAAGAAGGCAGTGAGCTACAAAGTGCAGGGATACATCAGAACTGAGCTACTGAAAGCCTCTGGGGGACAGTAACTCAACATCAGGTTTAGGTAGATGGGAAAGGGAATGTTCAGTGTTTTGAAAAAGGCAAATTTGATCAGATTTTTTTAAAGGTGGAAGGAGGGAAAACTTATTTGTCCTCTCATGAAAATGCCTGGGAAAACAAGAATATTGTTATAAAACACAGGTGAAAATCCAGATTTGTAAGTGCTGGCTGCTTGGCTGTGCACAGTCAAGTGCTTCCAATTCCACTTCCAAGAAGATTATTAATAACAGGTTGGCACTTATCTTGGAAGTTATCTTCATAAACATGAAAGGTCAAAGTCAAAGAAATTTTGCTTCATGAAGGGCCACAAGATATGGCCCTGAATTATTAAACTACAGCATATGTTACGGAGCAATAATCCTGCTGTAAGAGCTAGGGAAACTGAGGCAGGATGAATGTGCTCATGCAGGAGAGCAAAGGGGATGGAGCGTAGACTGGTGAAGAAACGAACTGCTGCTTGGCACTCTGTTCAGCCTGGGGGACCAGGTCACAGTCTCCCATGCTGGTGTGAAACTCTGCTGGGGTGGCCAATCCTTGGGAAAGGACATTCCAGACCTGCAGTGTCTGTGAGCCTGTTGGCTGGTGTGAGATATTCCCAATGGACTATGGCCAACCATGGGAGGGAAAGGATTTTGATCAGCCTGGAGATGAGGCTGGTACTTGGGTAAAGGTCCTCAGGAAGGGTAAAGCTCAGGAATCTTGCAGTAATTTAACTCCCATCACTACAAATATTCCAGATTAGATGACTACTAACCCAGAATATGCTTCCATGTACAGCCTGAGTTAATCTGACTGCCTTTTCTAGGTGGGGTGGGTATTCTCAAGCTGCAGGTTTGAATCTGAAAGTCTTTCCCCTCTAAAAAACATGTTTTGAGATGTATGATGGTAGTGGGAGAGATGTTTCCCCTGCCCTGTAAGACACCACCATGGCACCTGGACTGCAGATGGAACTCAAAGCCCCTGGTTTTGCTTTTTCCTCCTCCATCACCAGTGGCCCCTTCCCATGTCTCTTGCAATGCCCCTTGCATTACTTGGGTGCAGCACCCAGCATGGCAGGCCCTGAGCTGGGGACAACGCTGCCGGATCCATAACCAAAGGTCCCTGAAATAGGAGCCTGTACCCAAGGAAAGACACCCACTCTCAGCTACAGAAGTGTCGTGTGGGAACTGCTGGTACTTCGTGTTTAGTCCTGAAAATTGCGGGGAGATATGCTATTACAATCAACCATTAAAGACTTAAGAGAATATACCTTATTACATAAAAGACTCCAGTGATGGTCTTTATCCAACTTGTAAAATGGACAGACTTGATGCGACTGAATAATTTTCCTCTCATCTGCACAAAATCATGGATGCTAGTCAGACCTGGAGTCTGAAGTGAACACGGCGAGACCAGCCTATAATTACCAAAATAGAAAAAAAGAACAGCGTTTTCTAATGAATGACAAGCCACTAGGTGGAAATCTAATTTGGTCTAATTAAGCAGCCTTTGTGAGGATTTGTCTTTAGATGAAAAGAGGGAGCCAAAGAGATCTAAATGCAAATGAACTCTAGTGTTTTGGTTTTAAAGGGCCAGGCAGTTATGAAAGTATTTGCGTACACCATATTTTAATTTGTCTTTATGAGCATATTCCCCTTCTAGTTTTCCCTTGAAAAATTCCTTTGTGCTGCAGTTCTAGAAATCCAAGTACGCATCACTGTTTTTGAGATAGAATATAACACTCAGTTGGGCAACTTCAGCAGTACAGTAT